TAGGCCGGTTGTGAGGGACCTTATTCCATCATAGATATCTATATGGAACAACCTGGATACTTGGCTCCCGACTGATGGTGAACTTACCGGCCCGGCTTTCCGCACGCTTGATCACGTCTTGGCCAGTGAAGGGCTTACGGTTCATAGGGGTTTCGGGCACCAAACCCCCAGGGCTTTTTTGTATCACAGCTTGAAGCTCTTTTTCTGATAGGGCTTGGCAGGGCTTCCCTGGGTATGGCAGGCTTTGGGGGTTTCGGATTTAGGAATCACGCGTGATCGTTCCGCGACTTCGGGGAAGCTCTGGGGTTCATTGGGCAAGATCAACCAGGATTTCAACGGGTTCTTGTTGAGGGATTCAATTTAAGTTAAAATAAGAAGGAAACCACATTATTTACTATAGACCCCTATGATGATAATGTAGGTTGATATCTTAACAAGAAGCCAGTCAACCAGGATAAAACTAGCATTCAAGATGCCACTTCGCATCTGGATAATCTGTTGTAGGTACTGTGCGACGCTGTTGAAACGGCTGGCGCTAGAGGACCGGTTCTCGGTAGGCTGATTTCAGCAAGACGAACGCACGGCTGGACCGGATGGCTTGGCACAGTAGTAATAATGATAAGAACAAGAATGATAATGCCATCCCAATAAGAATGCTAATAAAAATCACAACATCGGTAACAGTAATAGAAATAGTTGTATTGAAAATCATAAATGAAAGTGAAACAATGAGAACAACAGATAGCCCTGATAACGAGTGCTCTTCGGCCAACAGGGACACTGCACTCGGGCCATGAGGTCACATACTGCTTACTAGTTCATCAAACCCCCCCGGACTACCCCTCTACTGGCCCAAGAGACTCCTCTGCCTCTTCTGAACCCGAGACTCCTGAAACGCTAAACCCGAGAACCCCAACCACCCTTGGACTCTTAAAGCCCCAATCCCTAAAACCCCCAAAACAACGCGAAACCCTAAACCCAAACCGCCTCAGAACCTGCAGAACCACAAACCCGTGTCTTCAGTCGCTGGCGATCCAGACCCGTCTCCTTCCCTGGCGCATTCCTGTGGCTTCGGGCTTTGGTCTGGGGTGTCTGGTACCGGGGGTTAGAGGTTTTGGGGGTTTTGGGGTTTAGGCTTTAAGGTGATCACTTAAGTACCTACTTAGTACAAGCGGGGTGTCTACACTCGGAATGACTGCTGGTATGGTGTGATGATAAAGGGGTTAAGCTTGTCAGGATGACATCAGGGCACCAGGGTGCTTCGTATCAGAGCTGTTGTCCCGATCCCAACTGACCCGATTCCAATCGCATGACTGCGGCCTTCAGAATTTAGGATTTGCTGGTCTATCTTCGATCTGTTGGGGGAGACATGGGACACTTAGGGGCCATAGCCGGTCTACTCTGCAGGATTTTGGGCTAGCACTCGGTCCCGAACCCTGCCAAACCAACACCCTCGCAGCCTGAACATAAACGGATTGCAATTATGTACACCATAATCCTCCGTGGGGCATGTGGAACAAGCTCCAAATTCCTGAACTCCACAATCCTGAAGGTTTAACCCATCCGGTATAACCTCTAAGACACTGAGTAGCTGGAGCCATAGGTAGACTTTACACCCGAAACACTCAATTCGATGGCCCTAAACCCTATAAACCTCAACCCATACTGAAACCCCCTGCGGGCGGTGCACCCCATTGGCAGTCGGCTGCTTGTCCAGACTTAGCGATGGACAAGCCTCATCAACAAGGACTCCGAAGCCCTTCTTCTTGAAAGAAAGCTAACATAATGCGGGTTTCACAGAGCAGTTGCGCGATCTGATACAAGGATTGAACAGCGGTTAAACTGTATGTACATGGCGACTATATGGGGACACGCTATGAACCATATAGATGCATGCAGGGTTCGGACGAATCTTTAAAGCCGCACCCAAAGCCCTCACACCACACCTAGAGACTTAGGGGCTGTCTGGCTTCGTTGCTACAAACTCTGGCGCCATGAAAATGAACCCTACCGGCTGAGTTTTTGGAGAGTCGCATATTACAATCATTTTACGGGGTCCTAAGAAACTTCTTCCGGTCTTCTGAAGCGCCACGCCAGATTGGAGGTTTAGCAAAGACCACGCCCTCTATCCCGTAGACTAACCCCAGACTACGAATCCTAAACCCCAAACCCTATTCCCTGAACCCTCTGGTTGAGGAAAACCTGGGCCTACGTGGAAAGGCGGTGGCCTGCTTTGATGGCTATGAAGGGGAGGTTTGGGGGATAAGGATTTCAGCTGAAGGTTGTAAGTTCGGTGGTTGAGGGTTTAAGTTTGGTGGTGCACGTTTAATTTTAGGGGTTCAGGGTTCAACGGCTGGCATATGGGGTGTGAGGGCATCTGCTACCACGGAACTACATCCCAAAAGATTATTCCTGTACTGATTTGGAGGCTAACTAAGGCTAACCAACTTCATCGTGGTAGTGCGTGCAAGGAACCATGTTGAAACGATCGTTGCTGCAAGGTCTGACTGGGTCTATCTACAACAAAGTGTGCAATTGCATTATTATACTATGACGGTGACGATGACTATACCACTAGAGGGGACTGTCGTCATTGTGTCGCATAAAGGTGTGACATTTCTGGGGGATCCCTGATACATGGTAGTACAAAGCTTCTCAGAACACAAATCAGAACATTCAGGCCCTATACTCATCTAGTTCTACTTTCGGCAGCATCCGAAGAAACATGAGAATGATCCCCAAACCCGAAACGGCATGAGGGAGGTAGCACACGCCAGAATCTGAAAAAGACCTCAATGATTAGACTTATTCGTTTGGGAGCGTTCTGTTCAAATGTACCAGAATGTACTAGAGTACCCCGCAGAATACCGTACCTGAGTATTTTCAGGCCCTATAACACTCAGCATCTAGAGTCTTGAGGTTTGAGTTGGAGCCAGGTGCTTTGGCAAAGCCTTGACCCCCAGAACGTAAACTGTAAACCGTGAAGCCCCAAACCGCCATAGTAGCCGACCCTGGGCGAAACAAATCAGAGCCCTAAACCTAACCTGAAGCCTGCATGGGTCTGAGATACACCCGAGCTAAGCCCGCTGCGAGCGAACTGTCGACTAGCCAGACTTTGCTGGCCCAGGGCGTTGAAACACTCAAGCGGTTCTTCTAGGATCTGAAGGTGGTAAACCCTAGACCCTAAACCCTAGGAGGAATGGTCGGGCTTGCCGGAGCTGAGTGGTGCCAAGTTGGACGGGTGGAAAGTCGGGCCCTTAGCTGGCATGCTGAGACTTTCAACCCTATAGGCCCCAGACCCCCCTTTCATGAAGATCCAACTTTTGACGGTGCTGCACGGTGGGACATCGGAGTCAGTGAGTCTTCTGGAGTCCTCTAGGCTGGCTGAAAGAAGCGTTGCATGGAAACAGCTGTGTAACAAGTCAGCTTGGGCCACGAACCGCGTGAAGCAGGGGGCTGTGGGGGGGCGGCTTTGTAGGGGTTCACCTCAGACTCTATAATATTCTATAAACCTTCACAACAATGCCGGGCTAGAGGCTACGCCAGGGCTGGATTGAGCGGCCTTTCCACACGAGCAGAACACACCGAATTCAAAGATATAAAGCACACCCAGCAAACCCAATCCTCAAATCCTACAACCCATACGCCTTCAACCCTACACAAAACCCCTAAACCTCATAAAGCATAAAAACCCTTCAGCCCTGGTTCCACAGGCTTCGGTCAAACGAGGCACAAGCCCCACACCCATTAGAGTAGTATCCTTGTAGCACCCTTGTAAATGAGCCCTTCCAAAGACCCCATCCACTTAACGCATGCATTAAATGCCATGTTTCTCCATCCGTGCGCTCACCTAGTTTGGGCGTCCTAAGTACGCCTATCGACCTCGGCAAACTCAAAGCAAAGTCGCAAGCTTCAAGGACATCTTCCTACATGGGATTCCGGGGTTGAGGAACATCGGGGCCTTGGGGGAATATACTGGGAAAAGGTACTACATACATACATATGTATCATAGTACGCTGATAATGGGAAACGGAGATTGTTGCCCTAGACCCGAAACCGACCCGTGTGGTAAAACCTGAAGGATGCTCACCACCGAGCTAAACCCTTCCTCTCAATTTTGTGGGTTTAGCATAGCAAAGGGAGCTTGACTACTTTTCCGAGAGGAGGACCACGAAATCACAAACTCTACGAGGCACACTATCTAAATGACTTCCCATTCGGGGGTTTATGAGCAAGAGGTTTACCTGTAAGCCTGGTCACGAGCCCTGAAATCAAGGTACAAGACTTGAAACAAACCAGGTAAGCCGCCAATCCTTAAAACGCGAAATGCTTCAAATCACAAAACCCTAGACGATCTCGAAGCCCTCAGCCCTGTAAATCCTAAGCCTTGAACCCAACCCCTCAAGCAACACGCAATACAGGCGCCTTGTTGACTAGAACTGGATTTTGGGTACATATGGTGCAACTATAACAAGAAGCCCAGTGACAATCGAAACTAATCTATCAGCCTTATGTAAATATATATATATATATATATGTCGCAATGAAAGAATGCAAAACGAAACAAGACAATATCTGTATGTACTGCATATAGGTATATGCCGATGTGTATGTGTGTGTAATATATGTGTATAAATGTATGAGCATATGTACACATCCAAACATATATTCCTATGCATGTACATGTGTTGCACATGTATACACTATATACATATATGTATGTGTGTATGTATGTGTTTATGTATGTATGTATGTATGTATGTATGTATACATATATATATATATATATTCATGTACACAATGTATATGTACATGTATATGTATATGTATGCATCTCTTTATCTAGACCTCTATATCTAAATGTCTGAACTTCTAAAGGTCTGATATGTCTATCTGGCTGTCTATCTCTCTCTCTCTATATATATATATACCAACGTTAATGTTGATCGAAAAACAAAACTATATTATCTTATCTGGAGCCACAGCGTGAGTTCGCGGCCGCTGCGTTCGAGGCTTCCGCTCGCCTCACCTTACTTCTCTAGCTTGGGGGTTCCTTAAAGGGATCCTTCAAAGGGATCTATAAGGCTTCGTTTATAGGGTTCCCGGTGAGGGTTGACCGTTTAGGGCTTACCTCGACCCGAAGAAACCAACATTTTTCGGGCTCCGTGGCATAACTGACACGAGTCCGTAAAAAAACAGGTGATTTGGGATTTGTGTAGGGTTTAGGGTTGAGGGCTTCGGGTTTAAGTGTTTTCTGGTGGTTTTCACGGTGCTCAAGAGGGCTTTATGGCTTTACGGATACCTTGTCGGAAAAAACATGGCAAGGTACCGTAAATACGACGTAAAGACGGCGCCAACCCCCGAAAAATACAGCCTGAACTTAATCGGTGATGCCACACAGCGAACCCAGTATTGCGAGAGAAAGCGAAAACGCTGGTGGGGCCGATGACTTTGAAGGCTGGGGCAAGTTTCGTGGAGATTTGTGGGGCGAAGAGAGGCCTGGAGAAGGAGGCCTCTGCGCAGCAACCTTTTGCAAATCGCCCTTCGTCACTGCAAATGAGAGCGGATCACCGAGGTTATCATCGTCGCCATCGTCATTTTCGTCATCGGCATTATTGTTACCATCATTGTTGCCACCATCGTTATCATCATCGTTATCATCACGCATCATCGTTCTCGCCATGGATAAAATCATAGTCCTCGTTGTTACATCTCATAATCGTTACCACCTTTGCCATCATCGCTGCCATCAAGTTGGGCCTCATATTCGTAATCACCGAAATCACCTTCCTCTTCATCATCACTGTCAACACCATCGTTCTCTTCATCATTGCTATCACCGTCGCTTCCACCATCGTCATCAACATGCTGTGCGGTGGGTTTTCCGGGGGCTGGGGCCCCGGAAAAGGGTAGGCTGCTTTAAAAAACTATAGGGAAGGTTTACTCTCAAAAGGCTTTGGCCCTTGGAGCCGTAAGGACCAACCCTCCTCGGCACAAGGTTTAGGGTCGAGCGCCCTACGGTTTCTAGCCTTTTCCACAGTGCAGGCATAGTAGAGACTCAAGGGCTGAAACCCCGCGCATGGTCTTTTGGAGCAGGGCTGGTCTCCAAGTAAAGGGACCTCTATCCTACCCCAAGGGTCCGTGTACCCAAATAGAACATGCTTTGGCCTTCAGAGTAGTTAGTCCCTACATAGGTACTCTGAGGCCAAAGTATATACCGTGACGATGTTTTAGCATGGGGCTTTCTAAATCTCTAACCAGACATTTGATACTACCTCCGCGGCCGTCGCGCCAAGGCTACTTACAATGGTGGACCTGTGGCTTTAGGGTTCAGGGTTCAGGCACTTCAGGCATAAGCTTTATGATTACTGCCTCTGTGGGCTTGGTGGTCCGGCTGCCCTCCACTTGTATAAAAAGCTTCACCGTACTATTTGGGCACATAGAGCCTTAGTGTTGGGAAAACCTACAACCTAAACCACTGAACTCCTAACCCTCCATCTCCTCAACAATTTCGTTTAAATCCTGAACCTTGAAGCCAAGAACCTGCACACCCCGAGGCTTCAGTCCTCAAACCCCAAACTCAAAAAGCCCGTGACGCAAGGACCTCCCTCCATCTTTCGGAAACTCTGCCGTTCTTGCGCTGAGACCACTAGCCGGATCAAGGTTCAGCTGCGTCAGCTTCAGCTGCGCGTACCTCCACAAGGCTTAGGGTTCGGGGCTTCGTGCTTAGGAGTTTAGGGGTTTGGGGTTGGTTTATGGTGGATTGAAGGGTCGTCATACCTAAACTTGGGCAGCTGGGTCCTTTTGATAAACCCGACCCACAAAACGACAAAATGGACCCCTAGCTTGTCGGACTTGGGGAGTAAGCGGTTTTGGGTTTCGGTGTACACACGGGCCACCAGGCTGCTCCACTCTCAGGCTTGAAAAAGCGGCTACGTAGGGTTTTGGGGCTTCGGGATTCAGGGTTTAGGGGTTTAGGAGTTTAGGGTTCAGGGAGGCTAAAGATTGTAAGAACTATGTCAACTATGTAATGCTCCCGCAACCAACACAGTTTAAGATTGAACTACTCGGCTACTAACTTGCCTTGCATCGCGACCCAGGCCTGGATCTTAAGCACAAGTTTTTCAGTTTAGAATTCGTGCGGCTCTCCGTCCGCATCAATACTGGGCCAAGCTCCGATGAAGGGCAGCGAAGATGTCTAGGTAGCTCAAACACCTTCACCTTGGAAACCCAAAGCCCAAGACCCCCAACCCTAACCCTGAACCGATTCCTGAACCCAAAAGAACAAATCGCTATAAAAAAAAAAACCAAGTGTAACTTCAGCCCAAACCTGGCAAGCTCACACCCTTGCCTCCCAAGAACCCCCGACCCAAGTCCCTACAACACCACATGAAATAAGAATCGTGAATCCCGAAAGCCGCATAAACCCTGAGCCTCAAAAACATCCCAGAGGAACCTGAAACCTGAATAACTCGAACACTTCTACTTTTTCAGAGACCCCTCTCGGCCTAGCAAACCCCAAAACCCCGATGCTAATGATCAAGGCTGTTCTTTCATAAGCTCTTACGACGACCCTTCAGAACACTTATCAACAGCCCGTATACAAAAGTAAGACCTCTTTGGAGCTCCGATTCTTCTTATCAAGGCCCCTGATACTAAGGCAGCTCACATGGCCATAGGGTTCTCGGCATTGAAGGGTCGCTCCTGCGCAGAAAGTGCCGGATTTAGGGCCCAAAGGTTAGAAGTTCAGGGCTTAAGGATTCGCGGTCAAGGGGTTTAGAGTTGTTTGGTTAGGGATACGGCCCCAAAAGACCTATTTTGCAGGGTGGTAAGGTACATAATCTAAGTTGACGGTTCCAGGTTTAAGGTGTACGTTTGTTACGGGGCTTCACAGGCCGAGGCGATGCATGATTGGTTTCTGGGCTTATATAAGAATGCAGGCTGTTGGAGTCCATCTTGCTGAGAACTTATGATTCCTGGATCAACTCTTGCAAATAGTGTCTCAAATCTTGCCAAGTCGATACTGAATGGGCCCGAAACCGTGGCAAGAATATGGGGACACTGGGCACCCAAATGGGGTCCCACGAACTCGCGTTCTGGGCTCGGTTGGCTGCCATCCACTTCATGCCCATGCTCACAAACAATGATTGCAAAGAAACTACCACTGTACTGTGCTTACTGAGGCGTTCCAGCAATTAGCGGCGGGCAGCACCACTTTGACACAGAGTTTCTCCAGATAAGCGGCTGTGACACGAGAGAGCCCGCACAAGTCAGATCTGCAACCGGTGACTCAAAAGCCAGCTGTATGCTGGCATTGCTCTCACTATCGCATCCGCTATCTCTGCGGGAGTTTCGGTGCTCTTTCGTTCAACCCTTGTCGGATTGAAACCGGTCGATAGGTTTGCATTCTCGAAGAAGCCGGCCCAAATCTCCGGGTGAGGCGGCAAAGGCGCCGTCCAGTGCAACATGCGCTCGTCAAAGTCCAGGCCAAGGTAGCCTAGGAAGCTGCGGAGCACTCCTTCAGGCTGCTCCATGAGATCATCGTGGTCGATAACTGGCGGCATTTGATGCAACTCCTTGGTGACGTACTCAAACATCGCCACTAACTCACTATAGCCCATCTCAGTCTCATTGAAGTAGGAATAGCCGGTACTCTCTGGATCCTTGCAGGCACGGAGCATGGAAATCATTGCTGGCTCAGGGTGTCGGATCAGAAAGCTGTGCTTCACTTCTGCCATCTCCTTGGACCTCCACCACCGCCGGGGGAGCGTGACAGCAAAGTCCTTGGCAAAGCTCACGCTTTCGCCGCCTGGGGGAGCGAGTAGCTG